TGAGTTTTGGTTTGGTGATCTTTTTCTAACTCTGTGTGTTCAGTGAGTAAAGTTTCTAATTGTTTACTTTTGTCATCGGTTTCCTGGTTGTCTAAAATCAGGCTTAGTCTTTTTAGTTCTGTATTTCATTCGTTTGAATATTTTTGATGTTGTCGTGTCATTTTCGTTTATTTATTTGCCAGTTGCTAAAGAAAAAAACCAATCACGATATAAACAAACGACACTGGCAAACTCTAACAACTGACTTTTTACTGAATTCCCTACTTCCGTTTTACCATCTTGGCGGAACTTTAAACTCTTTGACCCTCTTGTTTAAGGGATAAGTACCTAGCCAGCACGGAAGCAGTAAAAGAACGTTATTTTTATTCTTAATAACCTGACTAGGCTCATTTGTGTCCGTCAACCTGGACTAGTTGACAGTTGGTGAACCAACTTAGATGGGCGTTCTTCGTCATTGGTCGGCAGGATAATTTAATTGTCAATTATTTAAGTATTGGTTGCGTGCTTGCTGGGGGTCGCAGGGGCAAGTGCCACCTAGTTTGGTAATAATTTCATGTTTGGTGTCGTGAGTGATGGGGTAAGTGTAAAAATTCTGGGCTTCCTCCATGTCGTATTCTTGGGCGTAAGTATCCAAATTATCGATAAATTGCCGCACGATAGGGGCTTGCTCCGGTAAAAAAGAAAAATGGAGAACGGGTTTAGTTTGGAAGTGGGTGTAAATGGTGCCGCTACACTGTTGGTTTTCTTTTGGCACATGTTCTTGTTCTAGAGGAGTATGTAAAAATTCCGCTTTGTTGCACAGCAGGAGTAAACGGGTAATTAAGAATTCTTGGAAGTCATGGTGGAATTGTTGCGGAGGTTTTTTAAAAGTATAGAGTTCTTTTTTGTGGTACCTGGAGGCTAATTTTAATAAATTGAGAGGGTTTAAAGAACGGGTGCCTAAACGATAATTTTTTTTGATGAGAACGGGCTGGGCGGCATGGCCGACTAATTTTTCGTTGATGCGATATCAGTAAGTGGTTTGTTGGGTGGGGTAATCATAATGACGAAAAATGTGCTGATTGCGGGCGAGGGGGTTGACCGGTGGTAGCGTCTAATTTATGACGACCAATTAGCAGAGCAGGTTTTTGTTCGTAATCGTAAAGATTTTTAAAAAAATGATAAGCCTTGCTGTGAGTTTGAAAGCCGTGCTGCTGATATAAATTGCGTAAGTGAAAAGATTTAGCGAGATACTTGGCTAAATAATTAGAGATGGTTTTGTGGCCTGGGGAGCGAGATTCTACCCGTCCGTAAGGTCATAATTGGCTAATGTAAGCCCGACAATTTCAACAAGAGGTAAAATTTTTATCTAAGGTGCATTTGTGGGAGTAAGGGACAATAGGAGTGGAGAGCAAGTGAAAATGCCAAGTAGCAGGACGATTATTTTTGGGTTTTTGTAATTCGGCTACTACCACTCACTTTCAGTGAGGTGGCTTTCATTGGAGGCGAATTTGCCGTAAGAATTTAGTGAGAAGGCGATTGGCTTGAATAAAATTGCTGGCTTGGTCTTGGGGGATTTTGTGAAGGAGAATTTTTGAAGGTTCGGCTTGAGAGTCAAAATTTTGGGCTCAATCTTTTAGTCAATTGTTTTTAGTGCTGATTGGTTCTCAGCAAGTATCGGCAGGGTCTCAATTAGTAGTTCAGGAGTGGTAATTATCGTGCGTAGTATTAAAAGTGAGAGTGAG